GAAAGGCATTGAAATCATGTGCTTAATTCTCACAGTCCATCTTTACCTTTCAATTAACTTGTTATTGACACGAGAGTTAATTGAGTTATAAAACACAAGTATAATAAATCGGATGATTAACTATATGTTCTGATCCTCGAGCTAAAGGGTGACTGTTTTACATTTGAATTTATCTTATATTTTGTCAAGAAAACTCTTGGAAAGAATTTTATATTCTATTCAAAAAATCCCACAACTTCAAACTCTCAAGGTTTTCAGTACTTGGCCTTTGTCACTGCTACTTCAAAACACTAATCATAGTTCCTTATGGATTCGACTCTGGACTTAACCGGATTACTACAACTTGACCGCCTACACTTGGGTGTACACATATCAGATCAATTCACCTTACGCTTGCCCCCGCTTCTAACCTTCTTCATTTTGTTGACCTTACTTAGCCTTAAAATCCTTAGAAGAAGGCTCTATTGGTGTGGAAACTAAAGAACCAAAGGCAAATGGATCAGAAAGAAAGAATAAATGAGACAAGAGTTAAGAACAAAAAGAAGAAGTATTACTTGCTCCGTCTTCAGCCCCAGCCATAAAATTCGGGATAGGAGTCTCAACCCTCACCTCTGGAGGACTGAATCCAAACTCAGTAAGAACTTGAGGATTGACGAGCTCAAAATATCTCTCTAGATCATAGCCCTTTATGCTCAGCAAAACTTTCTTATCAATAGCACTGAGCTCCGGATGAACACCTAAGGAATAAAATGAGTCAGGCAAAGTAAGGTCAGCTCAATAAACCACCAAAACCAAACCAAACCTACTTGGGTAGGGGCTTACCTAGGTTATCAGAAGGAGTCTAGACACGTGGTACTGGAAGTGTGTCTGCCACATCTGTAGGATTGTACTCTCATTCTCTGCCCCACACAAAGAAGAAGAGCTTCTTCTAACCCTTGTGGAAGCTCGGGAGGTCAAAAATAATGGCTTAGGTTTTTACTCGTTTAGAAATGCACAAAAAACCATTAGAAGGAAGATACTTGACAGTGAAGAACTTCATAAGCAAAGACACGGTGGAAACTGCAAGATCATGCTTTTTGAAATAAACTAGGAAACCCAACAGGACACCCCAGAAATTAGGAGAAATTTGGGCATGACAAATGTTAAAGTGTTGCAGGACGCTCTTAAGGAAGGGGGTGTATTGGAAATCGAAGGCCATTCTCAAAAGCGGCAGCGAAGAAGCAGACCTTCTTATGAATTGGGATATCATACCGAACGTCCTAGTTTGGACACCAATATCTTACACCCTCAGGGAAACCAAAACGTGCAGATAGCACCCCCATATAAGGAGGTGTAACCTCGCTACGACCTACGAGGTCAAAAAATCTGGGAATAACCTCAGCACATTCAGCGCTGCCTGTGATCCCAACGCCACTCACTTTGGTCTTACCTTTGTTGGGTTTTTTGGGCAGATGAGAGGGTGACAAGGGAGGATCCTTAGTATTTTGCTAGACATCGACAAAGTCGATGCCAGGAAAATTATCAATCTTCTCACCCACATCACCTAAATCAACATCTTCAGCAGACCTATTGCCTAGAAGGGAAGCAAACGAAGCTGTAGGTTCGGAAGAGGCAGACATGGTTAGACAAGAGGAAGGGAGCATGAAAGATCTGTACAGAGGGGGAACTTCTGCAAAACAGTCTCTAAGAATCGAGGGATCGAGGCACCAGCGACCAATAAGGAAAACTCTAACAGTAGAGTAAGGATCCAAAAAAAGTAGAAAAGAGGATATTGAGCGATCTCGGTTCCTAAAGTAACAAAATCGAAAAGTCCAGAAATGTAGTAACCACCTAAGATTCAAGGGATCCAGAATGAAGAAGTGATTAAAAGCCAGGAAGCATACCTAATCAAGGACGAGAGACGAATCAAAAGCCCAAAGCAAAATCATAAAGCGAGCCTTGCAAAACCGTTGACTCAAATTCGAGAAAGCCAATTTTTCAGAGCTTTAAGAACACCAGCAAATTGGGAAAGCTAGAATCGCCAGGAAGAAAGAAGGAAAAGCCTAGAGAGAGAAATCAAAAGGAGAAGTGAGGCAGTCTCCAACTTCTTAGAAGCATATAAAGCTTACGGTACGTGGGTCTTCAAAGTGTGAAACGTGTGCGAAAAACAAGGAAGAAATGATGACACATAATCATCAGAAAATCTCTTCGTGCACAAATCGAGGTCGCCGTATAGATGTCTGCTTCAACCCAGCCTTAGCTCAGCCCCTACTCAAGTCCACTTTAACTAGGGACTGGGGGACAACTGATGATACCAAGAAAGAATTCCAAGTCTAACATTGGGACCTGAGGTCAGGAAGGGAGCTCAGCTCATGGAGTCTGAGCTCCGAGGTCTAGACCTAGAACTCCCTTAACCTGCATCCTAAAGTAGATAAGTAGAGGATAGCTGGCATTCACGAGGCATCCCCCCAACAGTAACAAGCTCCAGTCTAGGCACAAAATCCTCAAACCACCACAACCGTCGCTTAGAATCAAGGAAGACACCATGTGTGGAAGACGAAAATCTCACCACAGATCCCGTAGAACTAGGAATTGGATTATAAATATTGTACAATGACTCTAGTACGAGGCAAATAACTCCGATGGTATCAGAAACACTCTGTAAATCACATACACACACCATTAATACAGATCCTAAGAGCGAGAAACTCCATTTAAAAGTGGATTAGCCAAGATTTCGAGCTGGTGAACCAAGCATCCCTTATTCCCCAAAGTCAACACATCATTTGCACGAGCCCAAAAGCTTAGATCCACAGTGTGAACAAATTTATACATTTTGCTCATCCACATTCATACACCATCAGACTTAATTGTCAAAAAATAAATAAAAAAATATTTTATAAAAAAATTCACTTAAGTTATAGAAAAACTTGAATACTCTTTTATTGTAAATAAGTTTCCTAAAAAAGATTTTAGAAAAAACTCCCACATATATATACTAATTGGTGCACAGATGTATTGCACGTGAACTATTTTGAATTATAGAATTAACATGATATCGAAATATCTAATAGAGTAGAGAATGATCTAAGCTATAAACATAAAAGGAGTAGAGTGCCTAATAAAAATGCTCTAATAGTCAAAACACTACAAAATTTAGGATCATATTACTATACAGGTGTAACATTAAACAATGACAGGTCAATGAATCAAATTGTTACAAACAGATATGAATTGATAATAAACCAAAAAAAATTGAAAATTTTCAATTATGTATAGATGGCAAATGGGAACAATGAAGAACTTTATGCAATGCAAACATTCAAATTCCTGAAAAGTATTTTCAAAACTCAGGATATGTCACAAAACTATTACTCACATGCATCATTGTATTGTATGAACTAATGCATTAATGTTTGAGAAAGTTAGGAGTTTTGTTATGTATATTAACATATTACTCACATGCATCATTGTATTGTATGAACTAATGCATTAATGTTTGAGAAAGTTGGGAGTTTTGGTATGTATATTGGCATATTACATGACTTTTTAAAGACTTCATACATAAGCTAAATTGAAAAATGAATTGAACTTATGAGAACTTGTCCCCCAAGGCCAAATATAATGGACATTGAATCATGGCTAGTAAGTAGTTGAATCTTCATATGAGATATTTGATGTTCTTCTATTTTTCCTTGTGCCTCATGACTTTCATATTGAATCCTTGCAAATTGTGGAAGCTCGAGGCACTTCTCTCGCGTTGTCTTCCATGGCTTATAGAAATGATGAAAAAGCTTCAAATGCATCAACAATTAATCAAATCAAATTATTTGAGATTTTAATAGATATTCACAAAAAAAAAAACAAATTATTTTCCCAAAGGTATCACAAGAAGATCCAAACCTCTAGGTCAAGGGTTTTACATATTTCATAAAACTCTTTAATAGTCTCTCAGCTTAAAAACGTGGGGATAACTTACAAATATATTGTACCATTAGACAACCAAAGAAAACTCTCTTTAAAAATTAAACTTATCAAAGATAGAAGAAAAATATATCTTTGGGATGCTTGTCTAGATCCACATAATATCACATGGGTCATTGTAGCAACAGTCTCAAACTATTAAAAAATAGGCTCTATGAGTATTTAACTTCATCAAATCTCGTCTTGTTTAAAACACACTAATATCATTGTCTTGTCTAAACCAAACTAATATCTTTGCTTCCTCAAGGATGCACTATTTATAAAAATGTTTGACCGAGACTAACACTTAAAAATAAAAATATATAGAATCAGTACCCATAAAAAAATTGACTACAAAAGTTTAAATTCTACGAACTTATTATGTGCTCGATTAACTCTCAAAGATCTCTATACTACAATGGTATTCTAATTTGTGAAAGATTATTTTGCAAGATTTAGTCTGTCATTCCTCTTTTTTACCATATTACTTAAAGCTTAGCTTGAACAATTTAGCCTGTCATTCATTATTTTAATCCACATTGTTATGCATGTGAGAGTAGGCATTTTTGGTGATTTTCCTATAACTTTATCCAGATATTCTATGAGAACCAATCTCCCAATAATTGTGTCCCTTGTTCTCGGTTTATTCTTTCAATCATTTCGTTAAAATTAAAATTAGAAAAAAAAAGGTAAATAAATATACAAATAGATAGAACAAGCATAAAAGGAGACATGGTAAATGTTGAGAGATTTAAGGTTTCCTAAAGTTATTCTCATACGTATTTCAAAGTCGTTGATCTTTATTAACCTAAGGATAAAACAAAAGTAACTTGAATTATGGAATTGTTTTATACTATCGAGTAGAGGACATCTAAAGATTCAACAAGATATCTGGATGAAACCAACGAAGAAATTACAATACATAATCTAGGCAATCAAAGCTCACCAATAGTTGGAATAAAAGTCTATACACTGAAACTTAGAAGTTAAAGGCTGTGTATAGTATGACCTTGATCAATAGATGGATTAAGGTTATATGCTTGAACTTTTGGCTCAAGGTGTAAGGGATCGAAGAGTAAGGTTGTCGATCAAAATCGCTCATAAGTTCTTTGATCTTCAACACATGTTGGGTTGCGACAAAGCAAGTAATACCCTTGATTGGCTTCTCAACAAGTTGAACACCGCCATTAAAGAGCCAATGGAAATGAAGCAGCTTCACAGCTGCAGTGGAGTTCTTGCCAAGAGTTTTACTTCTACTTCCGAATGTGATGTAGCTTCAAGAACCATTGAAGCTGCTAAGAATGGAGATTCTCATGAACAAGTTCATGGAAGGTGAAGAGAGGGAGCATTACAGTTTGTTATAAACTTTTAAAAAATTCTTAAAACCCACCTTAAGTTTTTAAAAAATATCATAATCCCCTTTATGTTTTCAAGAAATTTTGCGTATGGTGTTTTATAGTGTATTTAAAAGCTTAATCGTTTGATTAAATGGTGAATGTAACAAATGAGTTTTATGATCAAAGAAAAAAAAGTAAAATTATTGTAAAATTGGGTTTCAAACACAACTTATATTATGTTTATTATGTAACTTTGTGAAATTATTATTTGCCATCGCAATTTATTTTTAGTCATTGCATAATCTATACTACTTTAAAATATTAGCATATCTGAAAAACTTATTTTTTCCACTTCTACCCTCCAAAATCACAACTATTTCATTCTTATCCCTGAACATCAAGGCCTAACATTAAACCCCATGTGAACTAATCCCAATTTACTGCCGTTACAACCCTTGCCCGCCCTCCCCCTCTCTTGCGTACAGAATCGATTGAATTGCAGCAAAAATGGTGGACTTTGCTCGGGTGCAGAAAGAGCTCCAAGAGTGTAACAAGGACATAGAAGTGTCAGTCATTAGCATAAACCCTAAAAGCGACAGTCTCACTTAGTTGATTGAATCAATCCCTGGCCCTCTTGGCACTCCCTATAAAGGTAGCACTTTCGCAATCGATATCTTGATCTCTATCAAAGTCTGAGGTATTATCATTTGACCATCACATAGCAATCTGATCTTGCTGCCTTATATTTTTTTTCCGCAGACATCTTCTAATTCGGAGGTTCTCAGCTTGGGCTTTTCACATTCTTGAATGATGCGTATAGGTTTGATTAATACAGATATTGAACCGTTTGATCTTCTTGATCTCTATCAAAGTGTGAGGTATTATCGTTTGATCAACACATTGCAATCTTCCTTTCCATGATTTTTATTTTCTTTTTGGGGAACCAACAACTTGGGCGGTAATTCAATCTCTCTGCATGTTGGATTGTGTTTTTGCAAATGTCATATTATTCTATGATTTTTAGTCTTGGGCTTTGCATATTCTTGAATGAGATGCTTATGGATTTGAACAATACAAACTAAACTTGACCCCTTCAATCTTTTTGATCTGTATCAAGGTATGGTGATTATCGTTTGACCATTACATAGCAATCTTTCTTTCCTTTATTTTTTTCCTGTTTGGGGAACCAACAATTTGGAAGTAATCCGATCTTTCTGCAAGTTGATTTGTATTTTTCAGATATCTTATGATTCTAAGTTTTTCAGGCTTGGGTTTTGCATATTCTTAAATGAGATGCATATGGTTTTGCAAAATACAAATCTTGATCCCTTCAAGTTTTTTAGATCACTACCAAGATATGGTGATTATCACTTGGCCATCACATAGCAATCTTTCTTTCTTTTTTTTTGTTTAACTTTCTTTGCAGGGACGTAACAATTTGGAACTAATCCCAATCCCATCCATCTGCCTGTTGATTTGTTTTTTAGCATATATCTTCTGATAAAGTTTTCGGTCTTGGGCTTTGCATATTCTTGAATGAGATGCATATGAGTTTGAACAATACGAATCTTGATCCCTTTAAGCTTCTTGACTTGCATCAAAACACAAGATGTTATTGTTTGAACATCACATAGCAATCTTTGTTATCTTCCCTTTTTTTGTTTTATTTTTAGGTTATTTTTCTTTTATAATCACGCATTCTAAAATCTTAACTATTGAGGCAACCTTTTGGTGTGCCCTTCTGTGGGTTTGGGCTTTTAGACCACACCACAATTTCTGCTTATTTATTCTATGCTTTTTAAAGGTAGGTATCTTTTTTATGTCCGTTATGGGGAAACCTGATATTGTGACGTTAGGACTTATTTGGCTTAGTTGTTTAGGAAATAAAGAAATTTATAACGGATTTGGGTTTTGGAGTGTTAAGTTATATATATTTTTTTTTTTTGTCTATAATTCTCTCTCAATATAAATGTACACAATAAACATACATGTAGATATGTGTACATTTAATACATTGAATACTCTCTGTGATGTTTCATCTTATCAATGTAGAATACGTGCATTCAGTCCGTTATTTGTTTTTGGGGCTAAACAATATTAGTTTTGGAATGAATGTTTGTTAGGTGAGTTTGTATATATTGCCTCTTAATCTTAGGGAAAGAAATGCATTCAGCAAGGTGTTGGTTTCAAAGTCATGATCCTTGAGATCGTTTGAGGTCATCAACCAAGAAGAAGGATCCCATGGCTTATGAAAGAGAAGAGCCAAAACCATTGTCAGATGAAGAATCCTATAATATTACGAAACAGAAGATTATAGCAGCAAAGTAGTATATGCAAAACCATTACAAAGAGCAAGTGAAGAACTTACGTAAGAGGAAAGAGCATCATGGTATGTGTGTATGGGATCATCTAGCAGAATTTTGTTGGTAGGATGGTAGAGTTAGACGGTAATTCTTTCACAATGAAAAAATGTGATTTTGCCTTTTGGTTTTTTTCAAATAGTCAAAATTTACAGGAGATGAAGTTGGCTGATGCTAATGTCTCAAAGGAAGATCAAAAAAATCTATTAAAATTGTTAGAGAAGAAAGAAGCTAAACATGTACATTTCAAAGGGGCAAAATGGGTGTTGATTAATTTGACTTACAGACAATGGAAGGAAAAGGTGTATTTGGCAAGGTAAACATCTTCATCTTTACTGTATTATATGATGCTTGTTTTGCTCTTGTGTTTTAGTATTCATTTGTTTTAATGTATTAATTTACAATTTTGCATTGACCTTTTTAGCAATTAGTAAATCCTTGTGAATTTGTTTAGGGTTTTTTTTTGGGTAAGTAGAAGTGTAATATTAGTACTATTTTTTTTTTGTTGGTTTTTCCCCTTTTTAGTATTTGAGCTGTACTTTTCAAAAAAATTTGGATTAAATTTTGTGAGTTATACAAGCATAGCACTCCAGATGGGGCTCCAATCATTGACGTTCTCAACTTCACCAATGAAGAATTCAAAGTCCCTTCCCAGAAAAGTGCTATAATCACCGCCTCTGTCCTTTTCTTCGATCTGAATTTTAATATGTATTTTCATTTTGGTTACTATTTGAAATTATTTGCTTTTGTTTTATGCGGTTTATTGTGACTTGATGTATCTTAACTGTAATGTTGTTAATGGCAATCAAGTCCCTCTTTTTATATAAATTTTTGTGTAACTCTATCAATGAATTTTGCATATAAATTTATTCAAATTGTATTATGTTCGATGCATTAGTATTTTGGGATGAATATTTGGGGCAATGTTGTGTGTTGGAGGAAGAATTTTTTATTCTTAAGTATTGGGTTTTGAAATTTCCCATCCTTATGTGGAATTGAAAAAAAAAAAGCAAAAGGGAAAGGGTGGCAGGGTAAGCATCCAGGTTTTGGCAATGTAGTTTTTTGCTCATTGAAGCTTGATTGAATAGAGTTAAATGTCAATTGGGGAAAAGAATTAAAAGAAGCAGTTGGCTGGATTATTTGATAAACAAATGAGTTATGTTTAGTGCGAGTATGGTTCAAATTAATGGAAAAATAAAATATTTTTCAGGTTATAATATGTCCTGTAATTTGTTTAAGACTCCCTCCATCTTTCTCTCTCTCTCTCTCTCTCTCTCTCTCTTTCTCATATGCTTTGTGAATACAAACATGCAATATGTCGTTTACTTTATTTTTGGATCTGTATGAGTTCACATTATTAATGATTTTCAATTTTTTTGCAGTCATGGCAAGTGCCACACCAGAGGGATCTCAGTTTGAAGTTCATCAATTTGATAGCAAAATGAATGAGTTGTAAGAACTTTTCTCTAGCATTAGTTAACTGCTTTTCAAAACCCTTCATTCAGGCATTGTTTATAATGAGAGATTTCAAGGGTTTCTACTCATGTTTTTTGCTCATAAACAAACACACACTCACCCTTTTTTCACCTTCCCCTCTCCCTCTTTCTCTCTTTAAGGCATTGGAGAAATTGCTTGTTCTAATGTGAAATGAAATTGCAAACATTCAATTGCAAGGAAATGGACAAGTTTTTTTTTTGTAGCAACACAATTTGTATGTGCACAATATGAAATCACAAATTAGGTTTGTTTTATTTCAATTTCATGCTTGTTCATAACAAATATGTTATCTTGCAATTATGTGGTGTATGAGCACATGAAAACAATTATGGGATTGTTGACTTGATTGGGTCCAATTTCTTGTCATTTATTTGATAGAAAAATAGATTTAGAGCTTGATAAAATGGTATATCTTGATGTGTTTTATAATTCCTAATTGCAATAACAAATTGTAAGAGTGCTAAAATGTTGTAGGTTAGTGAAGTTCATAGTATAATACTAAACAAGCTAGGTGAAATTATGTTTGGTTCTTATCAGACTTTCTAGAAAGTGGTTCTTATCAAGCTTTAGCTAAACTAATGTACATATATATTACATTGAAGCTTGGAGAAACCAAAGGGTTGTATATCAACCATTCAAGCTAGTGCTTTGATCAAAAAAATCGTATGGTAGTACAAAACTTAGTTGTGATCATTTGAACTGCTATAAGTTGGGGATCGAGATGAGGTTAGAATTGAACCTACAACCCCACCTACTCAAATAGTATTTATAGAGTAAGAAGTATACATAGCATAAAACCTTTATTTGGTTCTAAGACAGAGTAATGGAGATGAAGAAAATATGGTCAAGTATATCATTTCTCTTGTCCAGAGACCATTAATAGGAGAACCATGTAGGTTTCAGTTCCTCTTTTTTGCATCCAAAGATTTTTTTCCCTTGCCTATTTTTCCAAGAACGAAACATTGGGTTTATGAGGTATGAGTTTTGTCCTTGCTTCTAATAAATATTGTCGACCACCTATTCATTAATTGAAAATTGAGATAAGTTTTTTCTACATTGATGCCTTGTTTATCCCCGCTTACAAGTTACAATGAGTTGTTCATTTTCACTGTCTTTGTTTGCATGTCTACATGAAGACATATTAGCTTTATTGGGATGCTTTATTAATCTGTTTCATAGTTTTGATACTTGGGTTTACCTTTTTACCTTTATTTTCATGCTTGCATTTTAGATACACCCAAGAGAAGAAAGAACATGTGAAAAACAATAAAAATTTTGAATGTTATAAGAATGCACAGTTTTGAACAATACAACTTAGCTGCTTTATACTTTCTTTTGTGGAAGATGATTTAAATTGTTCTACCCAGACATTGTTATATTTGAGTTAAGTTTTGTGACAATAACCTTTGTAGTTGTTGGCCCGTAGAAAGAGAGGGGATTGAAGAACATTATGTTTAGACATTATGCATGTTGAACATGGATGTCTGCTTTTTGTTAATATGAATACTTTATCTATATTGATTGCAAGTGATATTCACATTGATACTAACATTATTCTGGAAATTTAGCTTTATTGTTGTTTTCTTGTTTGAATTTTTAGTTAATTAGAACTTCTATAATGATGGTATGAAGTTCTTTTCATGCTTGTTTTACTAATCACAGATTAAGCCCATTTTTAAGAAGAAAAAAGGAAAATATTTTTGGATGCAACAATAAGATAAGCAAATAACATTTGCCATCATGCTATAGTTGTTGATGAATTTCTACACTCTCCTATCCCAGGTTTTTGTCCTCGGGGAGGGGGCACCCAAATGACAATTTTTCTTCTTCTTTTTTTTTTGGTATGTGGGAAATAGTCATATTAGGGAAAGAAAAATTCAAGTTCCAATTCCTTCTTTGGAAGGGGGGACCTTGATGGTATTTTTTGATAGGAAAACAGTTAACTGGGGACAAAAAATTCAAGTTTTAAATCTTTCTAGATCTTTTAGTTAGTTCTTTTCTTAAGCATTGGGTAAAAGCAAAGTAGGGTATCCTTTTTAATATGACTATCATTATCCACTCTGTATGAACTTACATTGTGTAGAATATAATTAGGACAATTGGAATAATAGATTGATTTTTTATTTACCTTAATTAGGAATTTACATTATATAGAGGTATGTGCAAGGATAAAAAAAAAATTCAAAACGGCCAACACATGTTTATCTTCAAGGACGCCGAAACGAATAAGTGATTGAATAACATTCCAATATTTTGAGGTGTTTTGGAATATGCTGACATATTTTTGCACATTTCTAATAATAATTTGGACTATCTTGAGGTGTTTTAATATATTTCGATATATGTTTTGGAATTTTTTTTAAACTAAATTTTAATTTTTTTTTATTTTTTTCATTCAGTTTTTGAAACATTTTTACTTTGTAGGTGACATAAACAAATGCACCAAAATAAAATTTTGATATTTGGGTATGTGCCAGTGGAGAATTTTATTTGCATCCTATGCTTACATTTTACTTTGGCTCAAAATATGTGGTTTATTTTGAATAGATGACTTTGAATATAATGTTATGCTCGAGATACATTAAAATTTAAAAGTGGAATAGTTACTATATTGATTTAGGAGCAAAAAAGACTTAATCATGTGACAAATAAGATTTATAGAAGTAAAATTTAGTTTCTTAAACAAATGAATATTTGTTGTAGCAAATCATAGGTTTGTATATAAGAAGGTAGACTATCATGTGTACTAAGCACTCTTCTATCTCCTTCTTTTTGTTTCAATTTTTGTCATTTAATAAACACTACATCTTCAAACACATATTCCTTTGTCTTTTTTTTTTTTTTTGCTCAAATACTCACATTCTGAACAAAAAATTTAAAACTAAAAATTGAAATTACAATTCGAATTGATCCACGTGCAACTCAAGTGTGCACCAACTAATATTATAAATGTGAGAATAAATCGGCGGTAACATTGTCGCGAACCAATTTTAATGATGGTATGTGAAAATAAAAATTTTAATCTTACGACCCTATTTTCTTCATGTGAACTAAAATTTTTTTTTAGGTACAATGCTTTCAGATTGTCAACAAGGATCAATTGTAAAAATACCTATTAATAAGACTTCCAGTATGCTCTCCGGAGGTGGCAACTTGACAATCTTTGAACCCTGTTAGATACAACAGTTGGCCTATTTTAATAAGCGTAAAAAAATGAATTCCACTAATCACCTAAATTTGATAAATGCTAGCATACACTAAAATTTCAATCACAAACAAAGATTGTATCAAATCATGGGCTACAAAACATAGTGGCATAACATATATTTTGTTTGTGATTTACCTCACCGTAATGATAATTTGGACCAAGAAGCTGAGTAGAATAGAATGTTATTATCCGAAGAATTTGACAAGCCTGCAGCAAACAAACATGTTTGATTTAAGTTGTTAAACATTGGGAAAAATATTGTGACCAGGCAGTGCTTGGAAAATGTGATTCAATATGCAATAGTGAACTTGCTGGTGTTCCAGCACTAGAATTAGAGTGTTGCAAAACCCATAGTTACATGGCTACTTTCAAGGTGTTTCCAACGTCAATCACGAATCGGTACCTAACATCAGCTTTCTCAAGAGGATCCATGGCAGTCTTTACGTAGTCCATTGGTATAACCTCAACGTCTGCTCTTATGTTGTGTTTTGATGCAAAATCAACCATTTCTTGTGTCTCCTTCATCCCTCCAATGGTACTCCCAGCCACTATCTTCTTCCCTATCACATCCATACTCCCAGTTAGCTTCAAATGTTCAAATGTTTAACAAAAGTAGACTACTTGGACAAATAGAGAACATGAATAGTAATGGCTATGGATGCAATTACAAAGCTATGTTAAACCCTATCATGTTTACTACATCTTTAAACATAATTAATTGGGAGATCAGGATATTTACCCATAAGCAAATGAAAGACTGGTTGTTCAAGTGGCTTGTTTGGTGCTCCAACCAAGACAACTTTTCCATGTGACTTCAACAGACCAATCAATGGAACGAAAGGATGATCAGCAGAGACTGTGTCTATGATAACATCCAATGTGCCCATGGCAACCAACACAAATAAAATATATTAATATTAGAATAGGGACAGTCAAGATCAAGAATCATCACAAAGATGACTGCTATTAGCATATCAACAAAATGTAGATACCTGCATTTGATCTTGGTCTTGACTGACCAAAAATGAATCAGCACTCAGATGCTCAATAGCTTCCTTCTTGTTAGGGGATGTACTAATCACTATCACCTTGGCTCCAAAAGCTTTAGCAAACTTCACAGCTACATGGCCTAGCCAACCTAGACCAACTAGAACCAAAATTTATACCAAGCTTTTCAAATCCAAAATATTTCAACGGGTTGTAAATAGTGATCCCAACACATAGAAAAGGAGCACCAAAATTGAGAGGCTCAGGCCAACGAATAATGAAGTGTTGGTCGTAAACCATAATACCAGAATAACCCCCTTATGTCATGGTTCCATCATAGTAGATGGACTTGTAAGTAAGCAGCATTTTGGGACAATAATTCTCAAGATCATTAGCACAATTGTTTCATGAGAGACACAACCCAACCATGCACCCCACACCAACTTTGTCTCCAACTTTTAACTTTTTCACCTTGCCACCCACTTCGATCACTACGCCCACAATCTCATACCTGCATCAATTCAAGATTGGCATGTAAATCGAAGTGATCTATTAAGAGGTTAACATACTCATCAATGCTAATGTAATTAGAAGATAAAAGCATTGACATCGTCATGTAAACTATGAGAAGACGAGGGATAAAGTTTATTAAGGAGTGTGATATTTTAGGTAGTTTAGTTGCAAAAGCACTTGTAAAAGCAAAGTTTATTTCCTTGATTCATGTTTATTGAGAGCACTTAATTGTCATGTATATTCTTCACAAGACTTGTTGTGTCCAAATCTAAGCGTCGTGAAGTATTACTAACCCTATACACACCACCTCATGACTAATTGACTAATCATGTCAGTGAAAACTAATATACCTTAGTTCAAAAAAAGAACTTTAATATTTCGTTCTATTTTCTTGAATTTGTAGCCATATCATTCTTACATCTTGATAGATGAGTCATCACTGACTATTTTATTTCGATATTTTTCTCTATTAAAATATAATGTATCTTAGATTATATCACACTCCTACAAAAAATCTAACTGTTTTTTAAAATATCAACAAAATATAAAATAAATAGAACAAGGAGGTGGTCACCCAAAACCTCCATGAATGACTCGTGTAAAAGGTTGTACTTCCTCTCTCGTTTCTCCTACCTTATTTGAGGTGTTACATTTCCAATGAATTTTGAAGATTTATCTATTTTTTTCTCTTCTCACCATGCTAAATAAAATATTAATGCCCAAGTTCCATAAATGCACAAATCAATTATAGCTTCAAAAACTAAGAGAGGAAAAATGAAATTGAGAGAGAGAATGAGAGGGAATATTGAATGGGTCATTACCCAGGTACCATAGGATAATTGGACCTGCTCCACTCATTCCTGACACTATGAAGGTATGAATGGCATATCCCACGGTACAACACTTTGAATCTCACGTCTTCTTCCCCCGTTTCCTTGCAACACTAACCATTCGCGACTCCCAAAAATTATATCCATCAAATACACGCAATGCACAAATAATTTTTAGATATATGAACAATGTGTTATTGAATCAAACAAATAAAAGAAAGAAACGAACATTGTACCTTTTCGGAAGGAGACAAATCAAGTATGCATTTGTTTGTGAATTTGCAAGAAAGAGACAACTTTGAGAAAGGAAATAGGAAGAGAGAGAGACAGGGACAGAAAGTACGAAGAGAGGGTGAGTGGGTAACGGATGAGAAATATTGGACATTAACTCTGAAGTATAAGCATGATATAATTATAGTGTTAGAGGCTCAAGTCGGAAAAAATATTTTTTTATATATGTTGGTATTTTAAAGTAGTATGTATATATATATATATATATATATGAGAGTTCTAACAAAACAAAAACTAAAAATTTAGGAAACTAAAAACCCATAATAAATCTACTCTATGTTTTTAGGGATATGTTTCAAAAATGTTTGGAAACTTTTGAAATTTGACAATTAAAATTGAGGAATTTAAATTATTTTATCTTAGAAAATAATAAAATTAAAGAATTTTGATTTTAGATTTAATTTGGTGATGTATATATGTATAATTCTTAAACCCTAATTTCTATTACTCTTACATTGTTTTGATTCACTATATTGATACATTTTACTTTTATAAAACCCTTTAAATTTAACGTAAAATCAAAATTATTTGATTTTAGTATTTTCTAAGATAAGATAATTGAAATTCCTTAATTTTAGTTTTCAAATTTCAAAAGTTTCCAAAAATTTTGAAACACATCCCTAAAAAATGGAGAAGATTTATTACGATTTTTGATTTTTCTAAATTTTAGATTCTGTTTTAGTAAAACTCCTACATATATATAATATTATAAAAAAATAAGAAATTAGTGACCTAATATTAAAAGTTGTGTACTTTTTGACAATTAAATTTAATTTTGTGTACCTCCTTAAATTTTCCCTTTTTAATGAATTAATATATTAAATGGAAGGATTGGGTTGAAAATTGATTAAAATTTTAAGGATGTAATTATTTAAATTAAAATTTTAGAGACCACATAGAAATAGTGTGCATAGTTTAAGGATATAAATTATAAATTATCCTAATATTTTTGTTCTTTTCTCTAGGGTTTATGTTTTTTCTTCTAAATTTGTAAGAGCAATATCATATGGACATAATTTGGGAATATAATTTGATACGGATTAAAAAATTTTGTAACATAATGGATGTATTGGCTATCCTAATCCTATCCTGACTGACCTAACCTATCAGGATCTAGATCAGCCAAAGCACGGGTCAACTCAACATCATAGCTAGCGAATTGAGACTCTAATGGGCAAAAATTTCCTCTATGATCCTAACAAACTAGAGGGTCATACCATCATTGCTTAAGTACTATACTATCCTAGTATATAAATAGAGAGACCCTTGTCTTGCCAATATATATGCAATAATAATCTGATAAGGGTAAACATCTTCTTCCCTAAGTAATACAAATCAAAGGAGTAAGAGACTCTATTATAGTGAATTAATCTAGCTCTACATCTTGGTAAACCATTTATCCCCTTGTGTTCTTGCTTACTGTTATTCCATACATACACACGCACAACTCATTCATAATTATCAGAATTCACGTAGCTCCTACTTTCAAACTTCTTGATTTCATACACCCTAAATGTTATAAAATAGTTGTAATGTGGCCCTCGCACTAATTTCTATTGTCATTTTCTACACACTTGCAATACAAATATAGATATATATGTGTGTGTGTGTGTGTGTGTGTAGTTGCTTGCACATACCAAGGTATCTTGATTCCAACTGTGTTATTATAATGAAGTTATGAGTTGTAGGGTCATACAATAACCCTAATAGTTGGTTTATATGCAAAAAATCTATTTTGATAATGTACCCTAATAGTTGGTTTATATGCAGAAAACCTATTTTGATAATGTTACAAATCTTTCTCAATATAATCCTCTTTAAAATGACTTTTGACCATAGTTATCAAAATCGTACGATTTGGTTCGACACAGGTACAAAATGATTTGTATCTTATATGATAATCGTTTTAGAATTGAATCGCACCTGAATCGTATAATTAATATGATTCGATTCATATCTCACGAATCATACGATTAAATCATTTTTTTTAAAAACTAAATTTTTTGCAAAACGATGTCGGTTTGTCTGCTAACCAGTAATATGATATCATTTTATTTACAAAGGAACTCACACCCTAATAAAAACTCAACTCCTTTACTCATTCTCTCTCTGACGTTGTTTAAAGCTCATTTTGCGTTGCCTAAAACTAAAGGTCACGACTAACGCTCTTGCATCATCGGTTGATTTTTGCTCAAAATTTGTTTCTGGATAGTTTGTTAGATTCTAATTTTTTTTTTCAAAATGTTAGCCTGTATGTTTTCTCCCAATCAATTTTTTTTGTTTTTTGTTTTTTATTTATGTTTGTAACTTAATCTATAGTGGATGTCACTATTTTGATTCTTGAATAGCCATGGTTCTTTAATGATTTTTTTTTTCAAGTTGTTGAATTTGAAAATGGTTAAGCAAAAGATGAAAATAAAGCAAAAGGCTAGCATCTTTCCATTTAGACGATGTGATTATGTCAATTGATTATTTTTAGAATACAATAATGTTCAATATTCAATATTTTATTTATTTTCAATGTGTAGTATTATTTTTTATTTTTGTTCAAATTTTGTGTACAATCTTACCATTCACGATTTGATACGATTCACAATTTTTAAATTTAAAATTACAATTCACGATACGAATCACAATTTAGCAACTATACTTTTGACTTCAATTAAAGCATCTTAGATGTTTTGAATAAATACACAAGGTTCGCTACTAGACAATCTAACCCCTTAAATGAGATTGATTTTCCGATAGATGCACTTATATATAATCGATCCCGTTAAATTTTTAAACATTTTATTTAAAGTGACTTTGCTTAGAGTTCTATTTGCCATTAGGGGCAGAGCTAGGAATTGGCCTAGGGAGAGAGACAAAATGTAACTAGAAAAAATTGACTAGCTAATACAAAACAAATAAATAATAAGTTCAAATACTGAAAAAGTATATTAAAACAACTAAACCAGTTTTTATTTAGCCTAAATAAAATCTGAATAAAAAATAAGACTAAATACTTGTGAGTTGTAATTGAAGTAAAAACTATATATTTGAGTCGTAATTTAATGTTGAATGAATTGTAATTAATGTGTAATTATAAATTTCAATACTTGAGAGGCGTAAAGGCATCCATTGCCGATCATCACCCACTTGGCGAGCCTTTATCGACACTCACCTGGGCATGCCGTTGTCGATTGGGATTTGTTTGGGCAGGTGCTTGCCAGTCGACACTTGCTTGGGCAAGTCTCTGCCGGTCGGAGCTTGCCTAGGGGAAGTCCTCGCTTGTCCACACTTGGTACCTGAAAGCCACTATGGGTTAGCCACCTAACTCCCAAGTAAGTTACTATGTGCTCTCGCATTCTCTTGCATCTACATATGGCAAAAAATGTCATATTCTAACACAGTCCGATCGAGGAACAAGAGTTCTAGGCAAACACTACTCCGAGTATTAAGGAGCAAGTGATAAGATCAATAATACCTCTTGGCAAGTACATCCTTACCTTTACCTAGGGCATGTTTGTTTTGAGTATTGCTATGCATGGGATTAAGAAATGTATTTCTTACATTTTCAATACCAATGGAAATTAGTACTGGTAATAAAAATTATTTCAATCTCCTCCCATATTTGTTAGTTCAATAGGTACTATGGTAAGCCCCACAAACAACTATCTATTCTATCATATCTCATAACAAATATACAATTTTACCCCTAACATCATTCATTTCATTACTCCGTTTGTGTATCACTTTTACACTATGTTTGGTTTAATACTTGGTATGGCAATCCATACCCAAAAATAGCAGGATCGTGTAAAAAATCCACATGAAAATTCAAGAGTCATTTACACACATTTTTCAATGAGGAAAAAAAAATTAAAAATTTCATAAAGTAACCGTTGGGAACATCCCCAAAATTGGCTAGGCATAGCCATATTAAAAATTAACTACACAACCATTGCAAATTATCCATCAGTGTTGAGAAGACAGTGTAGGTGTCGAAAACGTTGCGCAACGAATCTCTGTGAAATTGGAAAAAAAAAATTGGTGTTCAAAAAAAATTATATGTCTGGAAGACAACACACATATGTTTCAGATAAATGAACCAAATTTAAAAAAAAATCCAATCCCAAATAGAAAAAACCAACACCAGAAGCGTAAACATACATAAAAAAAAATAGTAAATACCATTGTGCAACATCAAATTTCCACCACAGTAACATACAAAAATAGAAGTTTGTTACAGCCCATAAATTTGTAACTGTTAATGCATCCAATAAAACAAACATGTAAAAGATATTACAATCAAACAAGTGGCAGTTTCCCCTTTTTAAAAACTCTCATATGCAAAAGCCAAACTAGTACATATATAATTTGTAAAAAATGCATTGATTGTTGATGGGGGGATATTGGTTTCTGGAGCTATTGTTGATGATCGGCATCATTCTACCAAGCTATTGTACCAAAAATTGTAGAAGAAGAGACAAAGAAGAGGAAAATAAGTTTGAAAAAATTATTTCATGGGGCTTATGGATCTATGTTTGCTGGGGGGGGTCTAGGTATTAGGGTTTGTTGGGCGATGTAGGTATATGAATTGGAAAATCAAAATTTTTTGTGTATAAATCAATCACTGTCGTTGACGGCTTAAGATGGGTTTGTGATTTGGGTGAGAAATGAGGAGAGCATAAGGTGAGAGATGTTCCCTGGAGGTAGAACTAGAGCCGGCAATGGAGACATCTTCGTCTTCTTCAGCAAAGCCAAGTATAGAGACGTTATTTCAAGGCTAAGGCAAAGTTTGAAGGGTAAAGCAGTAAATTACTCACCTTATACCATTTGTGGCCAAAACCCGAAAAGTAATACCACCTCCCAGGTGGTATTATACAAAGTCATGTAGATGGGTTTCAATGCGATCCAAAAATAGTACTACATGAAAAAAGACAAACAAAAAAGATATTATTGGGCCCCACGAACTATTTTTCCTAATCCCACCCTCTTATACTACCATTATACTTCAGACAAACATGCCCCTAGAGTCCTATACTACGCCAAACAAATAAGAGCTAATGATAATGACTCTAGGAGTAAGAGTCGTCATCTAAATCTACCCTAAATATCTAGGAATTGGTGATGGAGTCCATCTTATCACAACCTAGAGTTTCGGTTCCTTTAGGATACAACTTCCTACCATTATAAATAAAGGCCTCTACGCACTGGGTAGATGAGGGAATCATAGTCTATTCATTCTATACTTTTCTTCGACTTATGATCTGACTTAAGCATCAAATTTCCTTTGTCTGCCTTCGATCATCGGTTCACCTAGGTTTTCTCTTATGTTACAGATTAATCAAATTTTTTTTCATCGTCATCTTCATCCGTACGAGGTAATGACTTCTGATACGGAATTTTTCCCTCACAATTGACGTCATCTGTGTAACCCAGAAGCTTTGAGTCATGTCAAGCGAAAAGAAGCCACGACCCAAAAATGAGACACATAATACCTTTACTCTCTCCAATTTTAAAAGACCCTTTAGTCACTTTAAGCCAACCTCCATGGTTACACCTCAAGCCATCCCTCGTAGTTGCCCCTCAAGTTAACCCCTCGTGATTGCACCTCCAATCAACAGTCATGATTGCACCTTAAGCCAACGCTCGTGGTTATATATCCAACCAACCTCCTGGTTGCACCTCAAGCCAACTTCTGTGGTTGCACATCAAACCAACCCCCATGGTTGCACCTCAAGCCAACCTCTATGGTTGCACTTCTAGCCAACCTTCATGGTTGCACCTCTAACCAACCCTTGTGGTTGCACCTCCAACCAACCCTCATGTTGTACCTCAAGCCAACCATCGTGGTTGCACTTCGAGTCATCCACCGTGGTTGCACTTCGAGCCAACCCAATCCCCATGGTTGTACCTCAAGCTAACCGTCATGGTTGCCCCTCAAGGCTACTTAGCCTCCATACAACCTTCATAGTTGCCCTTTAGGCTACTTCGTCTTCATGCGACCTCTAAGGTTGCACCTCAAGGCTACTTCATCTCTAGCAAACTTCTATGGTTGTACCTCAAACCAACCTCTGTTGTTGCCCCTCGAGGTTACTTGACTTCTATGTGACCTATAAAGTTGCACTTCAAGGCTAATTCGCCTCCATGTAACTTCTAAGATTACCCTCTAAGCTAGTCAGCCTTCGACAGATGATTAACAACTTCTATGATTGCTCAGTAGGCTACTTAGCATTTCTTAAGGATTTGCTCCCTTCAAGTATCAAACACCTCAACTCGTGATGGCCTTCTCCCTTCGGTCAGAACGGGCCGCACATGTGTTAGAAAGACTCAAACTACCATCACTAAGGAACTTCTACATGATCTCAAGAATTAGGAAGTCATTTTTCAGGCCATGAAAACATCCTCCCAAACTAGATATGACTCATCAATCTCAGCTTGACTCTCGAGGAACTCTTATTGCTCAACTAGCTCATGAGCAAAGTAAGTCAGTCCCCTGTACAAACAACAATGAATGTTTCTCCTTTTCTTATATCAGCCAAGCTTCAACCTATGAACTAAGTGAAGGAATACAAATGTAAGTAAGTAAAGGGAAAAAGAGAGAGAAAAGACTTAAAACCCTAATCCTTTAGGCAATAAAGGCCCAAAAAAAAATAATCTAAGTCCTTCCAAAATATACTTCAATTAATTCCATTCGTTAACTGAGGTATGTGGGGTAATTGAGATGTGTAAAGGCATCCATTGCCTGCGGGTACCCACCTGGTGAACCTTCTGCCAGTCGACATTCACCCAGGCAAGCTGTTGTTGATCAGCATTTGCTTAGGCCGGTGTCTACCAGTCAACACTTGCATGGGCATGTCTCTATCAGTCGGCGCTTGCCTAGGGGTGTTGAGTTTCTTTTGTGGAGTCTAGTTTGTGTGTGATCCAGATGATGACCCAACTTGAAATAATGTTGCATGATTTTTTATGAAAATTTTTGAAGCTTAGTCCATAGAACGGATTTTTTGGGCCTGTTTTGTAGCCCTGTGTGTAGGAAATATATAAACTGTTATTCGGTGATTAGGGTTTTGGATTGATTCTATACGACCGCTGCTCTCTCTGTATTCTTTCTTGAGAATAGTGAAATCTCTACTGCTTCGTGGATGTAGGCAAATTATCGAACCACGTAAATTATTTATTGTGTGATTGTTTAGATTGCATTCTTATCGTTATTTTCCTTAATTTTACTTTATTGTCATCGTTTGATTTCACAATAATTGGTCTCAGAGCCAGGTTCGGGTCTAAAATAAACAATGGCCGGAGAAAAAGTGAAGACATATGGGATTGAAAAGTTCGATGACACAAATTACGAGTACTTGAGGATGTAGATAGAGGACCACCTCTATGGGAAGAAACTTCATTTTCCACTGTTGGGGACGAAGCCCAACCCAAGTTGCACCCTAATCTTTGAGAGAAAAACAGTCCCCCTTGTGTTTAGTGTGGTGTGCTTTAGTGGAAAGGTTTGAAGTTGAGGCATGTTATCTGCAATTACCACTAAACACGGGGGGACTGTTTGTAATTAACCCATTTTAAAATCCCCCCTCTGTGCTGTACAAGTAACATGTCGAGCGAACCAGACATACAGAGAGTTCGGGAGAGACACAGAAAAATCTGGAGATCTGTCTTCCGATCATCTTTTCTCTCCGAATTAGTATAAGTAATGGCGGACGAACCATCACTCACTCGTTGGTCTTTCCAGGTACCTATTTTTAGTATTGATTCCTCTCTCTTTCTCCTTTTACCTCTCTCTCTCACACACACACAGAGATACAAAATCACGCACTCACGAAGTAAAATCTGTTTGGTAGCCGATAAAATGTTGAAAAGAAAATAAAAGAAAACTGAATTCTGAAATGCAGAATTTGCATCAATGTATGACTCTGGGAAATTAAAAGAGATTTTACTTGCAATCTCTCTCTCTCTCTCTCTCTCTCTGTAGTTTTCTTGTATAGAATGTTTCATTGCTAAGAAAAGTGGGAGAAGAAAATAAAGTCAGATTCTGCTTTGCTAAGCACAAATATTTGGCGTTCTTGATCTGTGCTTTTCAATCAATAATAATCAAAATTTGAATCAAACGTGTTGCCCTGAGTTGTTTTGACTTTGTTTTCCTCTATTTTCCCAGCAACCACACAGTACTGTGCATGATATCTATTCAGTTATTTTTTTTCTGACAACGATCTAGTTCTGTGAATCTTGGTCTCCTGTTTAGAATTAAATACAATTGAAAAAAGGATATTGCATTTATGAAGAATATTGGGTCGATATCAGGATTTTAAGCTCTTCTATGATGTTAAGTTTGGGAGGAAGAGGGAGTCCAAGGCAAAAGATGTGGCCGCAAATGGTCATTTCAATGATAAAAAAGCCGAATATAATGGGGATTCTTTGAATGTGACATCGAATGGAAATGGGCATGTGAACAACATATCTGACCTGGCCATTTACGAGCAGTATCGGAGTCAGGTACTCCACTCTCAATACATGAGTTGGTGATTTATATGGTTGTTCAGTATTTTACAGGCTATTTATAAATTTGATAATCTTAATTTCATGACTAGGGAAGCTCGACACACTACAATGGGGTTTCATCTACTGCAATGGATGAAAGGCCGTATGATTTATTTATTTAATATTTGCATAAGTTGTTTCTTAATTCCTTGAGTAATGCTTTTATTTGTTTTCTTAATGCTCAGATGGCACTCATCAGAAGGTTGTTTAAATGATCCCATCAACTACAGTTTAACAGTGAAAGAAGATTTTTTTACGCCGGAAAATATATGAATATATTGTAGCTGTTCCTTGGATCTTTTCCTAGCAACATATAAGAAAGTTGCTTTTCTATGAGTTTAGGCAAAGAACTTAAACATCATACTTGTTGGCTAATGGGAACATCTGATTTGTTTAGTTGTTGAAACTTGATAACTTTTGAAGCATTATCTCTTCCTTTTTGAGAATCTGCTGACAACAGATGTATTCCTTTCAGGCAGAGATCTCTGCTTCCTGCTTTTGAATCTGTGGAAATGCGTGCTTTGGCAGAGAGTTTAAGTAGGTAATTGGTAAAGTAAAGGACTTTTTTCCATAGGACTACTCAATAACTGTTTTTGAATTCTGTGTGGCCCTAAGTTTTTATTTAGGGTAAAATCTTTTAACGTAGTAAAACTTAATCCTTTTTCTTGTGAAGGGATATCATTCGCGGGAGTCCAGATGTGAAGTGGGAAAGCATAAAAGGGTTAGAGAATGCCAAACGTCTACTTAAAGAAGCGGTTGTCATGCCAATAAAATATCCCAAGTAGGTCTTGTTTTTGAATATCTCATGGCATGCTATTGTCTATATTTAAAGATGGATCTTCATGTAGATCTTTTACTTGGTTCGGATAGCGAATATATTTGGCAAAGATGTGTTTATAGAGCAATGAGTCAGTAACTTATGCTGTTGTATGTAGCTTGTTTAAGTGATAACATGCCCCCATTCTTAGTGAAATATGTGTGTTAGGGTTTGGGTGATAGAGATAGGAGAGAGTGGAACAGAAAGGATATCCAGCCCATATGTAGGCTGACTAAGTGTACACATGAAGTTATAAAAAATTGTAATTACAATACCCTTAGGTCTTATAATTCAACGCTTCCTTAAGTTGCAACACTTCCTTAAGTTGGAGTGTAGATATTTACTTGTCGGTAGGTGTAGCTTGATTTCAGCAATTTCAATGTCGACCTCATTTTGTTGATGGGTGTAGAAAGTGGTGCAAAATTCAAGTCGAAAGTAGCATTATTTTCTAGAAATCAATAAATCTCACAACACAAGCAAATTTATTTGCAACTAGAAAGGAGATTTCAAATCTTATGTGGCTTGACTTTATCATTTCAATTGAATTTACTATAGTGCCATCAAGTGTTGGTGATGTAGAACAGGTTGAGCATATTGCTTATAATGGGAAGACCATCGCACATTCAATGTGCAATGGAAGCCTACAAAGTAATAGTTGAGGCAAAATGAATCGGACTTGGAATTAAGTGGATTTAGTTTCGTTTCATCCAATTTGAGCCATGGGGTTTTCTGTTTTCGGGACAAATTCTTTTATCTTTTAGGAAAGAATTAGATAATCAATGACAGATCTTAAGAAATTTTAATTTTAGTGCTGTTAGTTTTCCAAAACTCTAGGTGACATGTGCTTGTAAATTAGTTAGATTGTAATTTTCTATTTTTAGTATATTTCGTAAAATTAGATATATTTCACTCGTGTAAACAGTAGAATTTTGGCCATTCGCAAACTCTCCTAATTTTTTACAACATATTCATTCAATAATACCATATTTCAGTGTTTCTCTTACTTCTAGATGTGTGTGTTTGATAAACAAAGAAATGGTGATTTCTTTGTCTCCTCTTATCGTTGCGTCAGTTGATGTCTATAAATAAACAATGAATTCTCTTTTTTTGGTAGTTAGGATTTGATATAAATTTAATGAGAGATACATATTATGAGTGTGCATTGAGAGGGGTCTACAAGGGTTATGGACTTGGGTTTTAGGATTAAATCTAGTGGTTAACTTAGATATTCTCAATTTTTCTCATTGGAAATTTGAAAATGCTCCGTTAATGTATACAAAATTTGTCAAACCGCATAATTTCTTTGTTAGTTTTGTGTTTGTTTTATTTGTTTCTTGTCCCTATGTTATCTACCTTAATACTCAAATTAGAGGCCCATCATAACAAATGGGTCTTAGATCTTGTTTTTGTTTATTGTCATAGACTTTCCAATTACCCTGAAACTTAGTTATTTTGATTTGAGAAATTGCAATGACTACAATTTTTGAGGGAGTATGGCTTGATGGAAGAAATTATTCTAGTATGTGGCTTGTAAAGATATGTGAGTGTCACTTGATGGAAGAAATTACCTTAGTATGTGGCTTGTAAAGATATGTGTCTAGTTGGTTCAGTAAGGGTTGCTTAAAGCTTGGAAGGAGTGAGATGCCTTACTACAACAATGTCAGATAATGAAAAAGACAACCTATTAGAAGCTGTTAGAATTGATCAATGAGAATAGAGAAGAGAAAGGAAGAATAGATTATTCATTTAGGAAGTCCGTAATACACAGCTTAACCTAGAAATACACAAAGTAATCCTTATATAATAGGGCAACACAACATAAAGAAAATGCCTAAACTACCCTTATTATGAATACTTTAACACCCCCTCTTAAACTCATGATGTGGTAGAAAACAACAAGAGTTTGCCAAGAAGGAATCTAAAACGTGCTATGGTATGAGACTTCGTAAAAAAATCCGCTATCTACATCGTGGAAGGAAGAAAGGGGAGAGTGATGGTGCCCTGCTGCATATGATGACGCACAAAGTGACAATCAATCTCAATGTGTTTTGTGCGCTCATGGAAGACTGAGTTATGAGCAATCTGAATAGCACTGGTGTTGTCGCAGAACATAGGAGTAGGGGATGACACCGAAATGCCAAGATCAACAAGGAGCCATTGTAACCAGACTATCTCAGCTGCAGTAGATGCCATAGCACGATACTCAGCTTCAGCAGAAGAATGAGCAACAGTTTATTTCTTGCTTTTCCAGGAAATAAGAGAATCCCGAGAAACAGGCAGAAACCAGTGGTGGACTTGCGATACATAGAGTTACCAGGCCAGTCAGCATCAGAGTAAGCCCTGAGTTCCATAGATGAAGAGTAAGGAAAGAGTAAACTCTGACATAGAGTGCTACGGAGATACCGAAGAATGCGAAGAACAGCAGCCCAGTGAACGGTGGTGGGTGAGGCAACAAATTGACTCACAATGTGAACAACATAAGAGATATCCGGACGAGTGACTGTAAGATATACTAAACTCCCAACAATAGTTCGGTAGAGGGTTGGGTCAGATAATAGAGTACCGTCAGACAAAAGAGTAACAAACATTGAGCTCTAAAGGTGTCTCAACTGTCCGATTATCTGATAAACGAGCTCGTTCAATAACATCTGAAGCATACTTGGATTGAGAGAGAAGATATCCTTTAGGAGAGGAATCAATCTCAATACCCAAGAAATATTTAAGTTGCCCCAAATCTTTCATCTCAAAATGATCCTACAACTGGGTTTTCAATAAGCATATGCCAGCAGTGTTTTCACCCGTAATAATCATATCATCAACATATAGTAAGAGAATAATAGAACTCGAGGAAGTAGACCGTAAAAAGAGAGCAGAATCATGGTCACTGGCACGAAAATCCAAGTCACAGATAACTGAAGAAAATTTGGCAAACCATGTTCTGGGAGCCTGCTTAAGACCATATAAGGAACGATGAAGGCGATATACTTGACCAGAACTATAAGATAATCCAGGGGGAGGTGTCATAAAAACCTCTTCAGTCAAGTCTCCATGTAGAAATTCATTTTTCACATCCATTTGAGACAAACTCCATTGTCGACTGACAGCAATTGCAATCACGGTACGAACAGTAGTCATCTTGGCAACAGGAGCAAAAGTCTCATCATAATCTAGACCATATTTCTGAGCAAACCCCTTGGCTACTAATCGAGCTTTATATCGTTCCACTGAACCATCTGACTTGGTTTTTATCTTATAAATCCACTTACAACCAATGGTGCATTTAAAAGGCGGTAAGGACACTAGCTCCTAGGCTCTGGTCTTATGTAAGACAGACAACTCCTCATCTATAGCCTATTTTCAAAGTGGATCAAGTAATGCCTCCTTGTAGGAGGAGGGTTCAAATAGAGAATGAATAGAAGTAAGGAAAGAACAAAAGTCAGAAGAATAACAAGTATTACTCCAACCAAACTTGTCTGGACATTTGCGAGAGCGCTGAGGATTGCGTGGGGTATGATCCACAGTGTCTGAACCTGATTGGGCGGCCGGAGAAGAAAGGGTAGGCACTGCATCCGAAGAGGAGATAACTGGAGTCCTGCGAACATATGTATGCACAATAGGGGGACGAGTAATAGTTGACTCAGAAGATGAAGGATCTGACACAGGTATATCACCAACATATGTATTATGAGGAACATTGGTAGGAAAGGGATCAATGTATAGCAGGTCAGACTTATTTAATGAGGAAGAGCTAGATGGAATTGAGAAGAAGGGAATATGCTCCATAAAAATAACATGACGAGAGACATAAAGTTTGCAGGTGATGGGATCATAGCAACGATACCCTTTTTGACCCTCATCATAACCAAGAAATACACATAAAGTTGAACGGGCAGAAAGTTTGGTACGAAGATCACTAGGGAGTAAAACAAAACAAGTACAACCAAACACACGTAAAGAAAAATAGTTAGGTGGCTTACCACATAACTTTTCAAATGGAGAGACTCCAGAGGTGAGTATAGTAGGAATGGTGTTGATCAAATGAACTGCTGTCAAAACTGCTTCCCCCCAAAATGAGCTAGGAACATGTGCTGATAAAAGAAGGGAACGTGCTGTCTCTAGAATATGACGGTGTTTTCGTTCGGCAACACCATTCTGCTCAGGTGTGTCAGTGTAAGAAAATTGATAAAGTGTACCATCAGATTTCAACAGATCATGAAAAGAAGTAAGAGTTTATTCACTGCCCTGATCACATCGAAAACATTTAATGATTGCGGAATATTGAATGCGTACCATGTTACAAAAGGTAGTGAAGATAGAAAAGAATTCAGACCGACGTTTCATCAAGAATACCCAATAGTACTGCGTGTAATTATTAATAAATGAAACATAATATTTGGACCCTCCTTGTGTAGGAATAGGAGCCGGTCTCCATATATCAGAGTGAACAAGATCAAATGGTGCAAGAGAAAAAATAACCCTTTTATTAAATGACAATGCACTAAATTTAGCCAACTTACATTCACTACAATCAGAAATGTCATGGCTTTCCAAACTACCCAAACTCCCAGTCAAAACTAAAAATTTTAAACGAGAATAAGAAACATGACCAAGACGAGAATGCCATAAATAAAAACTAGATGACTCTGGACTCAAACGAAAAAAAGATAAATCAATAGTAGAAGCAGCAGCATCAGCAACTGGGACATGCAGCTCCTCCAACACATATAACCCGCCCTGTCTACGGCCAGTCCCAATCAACTTCTTGGATCGTGGATCCTGCACAACACAACCAGAGGAAGAGAAATGAACCAAAAGTCCAGAATCAAATAGTTGACTGACTGAAAGTAAATTCAAAGTAAGTTGAGGAATATAATAGACATCGGAAAGTGTAATGTTGGAAGAAATAATTGTTCCAGTACCAGTTAATGACATGTGAGAACCATTGGCAGCAAGGACAGATAAAGAGGG